ACAATGCCTGGATGTCTGCTGTTACTCTTCCCATCTCGCTCTATCACTGATCCTATCTGTTGCCTCAGCAATGTAATTAGACTTCTGAACCTCAAGGCTATATTTGGTCCTTCAGTGCATGGAATGGCTGTTCCTTACGCTGTACCTGGACAGGTAAAAGTATTTGGAGGATATCTCATTTAATGTTAGGCTTGGGGGAACCAGCAAACCTTTAAGTCATCTTTCAAATAATAAGTGGAACTAGCTTTTGTAAAGAGAAAAAACAGATAGTGGCCAAAAGGCATGGTTTCTTTTCTAATAGGCATGGCTTCATAGGATGTTTTTTTTTTTTTTTTGAGACACTGCCATCATAGAAATGCTATCCTGCTACAGATACAGATACAGATTACGCAGAATTAAGACCTTAAAATATTATGCAATGCATAATTGCACTGAAAGAACCCTGATCCTATCCCAACCAACCTATCCTATCCTGATCCTATCCCAACCCAACCTAGAAAAATAAGCCAATGGACCTCCTATGGACAGACACTAGATTTCCCTAATAATGACAGACTAATGTCCCTGGCCACAGGAGCCCTTGCCAAGTGATGGGCGAAGCAATGAGTGTGCATCTTACTCTGCAGAACTCTCCACCTCACTAAATGTAACAACCATAACTACTGTTCACATATTCTGTAGCCATTATTGCTGCAACTCCTATGTTGCTGACAGTTTGAGCTCATACTTGGCACATCAAACTGCCACATAATACTGGAGCTTGTATTCACTATAGCTTGTTATATAAGGATAACAGACTTCAGAGAGGTGGCCTATGAGAAAATAGCCACTGTCCAGTAAATAATTACTAATTTAGATAAACAGTGTATAAATATGCCACAGACAACACCATACTAGGCTTTAGTAAACTAGAACGAGGGGTGAAAAAAACAGACAGGCAGCAACTCTAATACTATTACATGCTTAAATCTATATCATAAAAATGTGAGTAAATGTATACTTCCATAAAAATGGACATGTGTGTAGATTAGAACAAGCTTTATGGTTGGTATATACATTTTTAATATTATGTGTCCCTTAACTACATTTCCTGTTTCAGTTTCTTATCAGACAAACCATGTCAAATAATGCTATAGACTGTACAGATCACTAACTAGAGCAATAGATGCAGAATCTCAAATTCTATAAAGCACTTAGGCTGACCGTGTAGGCAGCACTCCATCAACCCTGCAGGGTTCTCTTTGATTTATTTCAGCAGTATGAACTGGCAGCATAAAAGCTAAGAGCTGTTTATTTCTTGCGCTGAACTTTACGCAACGCTTGTGACCTGGCTGTGAGACTCATTTGGCTAATGCAAGCTTATAGCACACTTTAGAACTATGCAGTGTTCCCTGAGCAATGTATTACCATATCCTTTTACTGCCACCTTCTGGTAATCATTGTTATATAGTGGAAAACAAACATCCTCAGCATATTACACCAGTGTTTCTCAACCTTTTTTCAGTCAAGGCACCCTTTACAATTATGGATAATCTCAAGGCACCAGGGGCGGACTGACCATTTGGAAACTCGGGCGCTGCCCAAGGGACCAGGGTCAGTAGGGGGCCCCATGAGATGCCCCTGGTACCTTTTTCATTGGCTTTTTTGAGTTTGGGCAAGGACACAGGGGCCCCATGATCCCCTATTGCCTGGGGGCCCCATGAGTTGTCAGTCTGCACAATCAAGGCACCCTAATCCAAAATGTAAAAAACTATTCTACACACATCCAGTACACCCAACATCAGAGGTAATTTATTCTTCCAAAGCAAAAATACCTTTGCACACTGATACCGACTAGTATTCCAGTGTGTCTCATTTTCTCTCCCCTGCTAATGTGGCTCTAGTGCTGATGGATAGGAGCAGGGAAGGGCCAAACAAGGATGATGTGCATGCGCCCGACATCCTCCCTATCATTGTTGATGTCATTGGTTGTTAAGATGCTGGCAGCTAGAAGGTCATAAAAGGTGCACAATGGAAACCTGTGGCTTTGTGTACTAAAAGGCAGGACTGATTCACCTTCTGGCTTGTACAATTTTGGGGGCATTTTGCCAAGGCACCCCTGAAGAAGCCTTAAGGCACCCAAGGGTGCCTGGGCACCCTGGCTGAGAAAGTCTGTATTAGACATCATCTACAGTATGAAAAAACAAGCACATTTACAAAAGTCAGCTGAAAATAAATACAATATGTGTAGTGCATTAGTATTTTACACCCTATGTAGAATATTTTATGGGTTCTGGAATAAATATCTTACACTTGCTACATCAGAAATAATAGCTGGATCAGTGTCAGCATGGGATGCATAACATTTTCTCATAATTTAGATGTTTAGTCTTCCAGGCAATGGAGAGACATTGGTTGGCTGAAGTACCCACTGGCCAGCTGTGCGATCTACAAAGGAGTTTCATTCTGCTACCAACATATAGCTAGGTGTTCCTGCTAAGTTCTCTATATTGTAACATAACTGAAGCATCAACCAGTTAGAGAAAGCCCCATAGATAGTGGCAGTTGTATAGAGCAGGAAGAGGCCTTGGCACTGGGTGGCTGCTCCCCAGTTCCCCAGTTGATAAAATAAACTTTTGGTTGTGTAAACCTGCAGACAAAAAAAACTAAAACATAAATCTGGATGGTTCTGACTGGACTACCCCTGACTGGAAAGGATTTCATCATAAGTTTCATATTCATTTTAAAGCTGAAATCTTACCAAAACACTATTTTGAGCCACTTGCTCTGTAAAAAAAACTGCCATAATCTTCTCCAATCACAGAACGCTTCGTGTTCACTCAAAAGAATACAAGGCGATTATGGACGAGCTACAAAGTGAGCGGCCCACTGTGATCTGTGTACTCCAGCCGGAACTATAAGTTTCGGCATTGAACATTCAGTGCTAATTGTGCTGTATGGGGGAACACAGCAGCAGCTGCACATTGCACACACTTCATTAGTGGTCATTTATTTTTACCATGTTCAGATTTAAATATATTACAAATTATAAGCATAAAACATTTTTCTGAACAAGAACATGACATCCTTTGTGTGGCCAAGATAGCTAGAACTTATTTAATATGTATATATATATATATAATTTAAAGTGTATATGAAACACTTTTGTGCATAAAATATGAAATTTTATATATAATGACTTTAAATAAAGGAGAATATAAAATGTTGAAAAAACTCAATAGAATTTTGGATAGCTCCATTGCAATCATTTGAAACTTTTTTAGCCTCTGTCAAATTCTTACAAAGCCTGGTATTAAAGTGTCTCTGTGCTAGAGAAGCAATGTTTTTGACTTTGTCCTATAAAATATATTACTTTCCTTAGATCCTGTAGGTTCATGCAACATTTTCAAATTGTTATTGTGCATGCAGTGGAGGTAGTGGCAACTGTCTAGGGTGCCTAGGTTACATAGTATAGTGTGTTCCTTCACTTCAGGTTTTGCCTTTCAAATGACAAAAACAATTTTTTTTATGGGTAACAGCTTCAGTTTTGGTTTAATTTTCCTTGATCTAGAGTATGCGCTTCCTGCCATTATTGTGACTGATGTGCAGTGTGGAAAATGAGAATAAAAAGGAACCTGTTACCCATAGAAGCCTGAAGCAGACAAAGAACCTCCTGCACTTGAAAGTGGTGCTCAAATGCTACAGGCTCTTAATTCCTTGTTCCAATCTTGACTTGATGGAAATGCCTCGCTTTGCTGCCCTCTTAAGACTAGGGTAGTCTAGACAAACTGAGGATAATGCACTAGGCTGGTGTACCCTCTGTTTTATGGCTGCAGGTTACCCATATAAGCCTATCAGTTGCTTTAGGCATTTAAAAGGTAAAGTATGATTGGTTTCAATAGCATATAGTGCTTTAGTTTTGTTCTTCCGCCCTAATCTTAGCACAGGATGGAACCACATCTTATATCTTTATTGCCACTAAACTTCCACAGCCTAGACCACGGGTGTCAAACTGGCGGCCCTCCAACTGTTACCAAACTACAAGTCCCATGAGGCATAGCAAGATTGACAGTTACAAGCATGACTCCCAAAGTCAGAGGCATGATGGGACTTGTAGTTTTGCAACAGCTGGAGGGCCACCAGTTTGACACCCCTGGCTTAGATCCAAGTAAAGTGAAAACTCAACCATCTTCCAGAGCTAAAATGTTAAGAAAAGTTCATAGTTATCACCAGTTTCTTAGCTTTCTAACTTGGTCATGAAGGTCTATTCAATGATATTGTTAAAGATGGAAATGTCTCTTCTTTTTAATATTACTCCCAATAAAATTCTTGTTTTTTTATTGTCTTTTCAGATGGCATTCTCAGCATCAATTTAAGCATACTGCTTTAGCAGCAGAATTTAACTCAACTGGGATTTCTAGGGTTTGGGGTTTGTGTGGGACCAGAAATTGGGTAATACTGTCAGTTCCATACCACATTTCTTACTAAAGTGTAAAGTCCTGCTTCAAGATATGTCCAAGCTCTATTGTCTAGGACATAACATAATGTAATCAGGTGGCATTTGTGGAAAGAAACCATATAGACCAGACAAAAGCAAAATCAGTATTTTTGTGAAAACTTTAGCAGACAAATAGCATTGACTATACCCATATATGTGCATCCCCTTTAAGGGGCACAATAAACCGACAAGCTTTTCTTAGGATAACATAAAACAGCACACCAAAATCCAGGACTTGTAATCATGAATAATATCAGTCCAACACAGTAAGTTTAAAAGTATTTGTAATCGTAGTTTACTCAATATTCTACACAGTAAATACTTTATTGATACATGGCAAAATTAACTGAATCTTGATACACTGTCAGCACAAAAACAAATCTGAACATAACTAAGTTCTATAGCACAGGTCTACAATGCATTGCATTGAATGTGACTTGTCCAGTCCATCCGGAAGTACATGTCCTGGAGCAGAAGTTGAAGTTTAGCTGTGTTCCTCTCTTCTTGGGAAATAAAATTGATGTTAAGCAAGAGTGACTGTCCGAACTCCTCTTCTGGTGGGTGTAAACTGTCCTTTAATCTTGAGGGTGGAAAACCGTTCATTCAGTGTGACATTAGTCTGTAGAATACATAGGACTGGATTATTACTTTTCTTTGAAACACTGTTCATGCTCCCTAACATAACAATCCTTGACATGTATCATAAAAGTACAACAATTAGGTCAACTGTGATAATTGAATAACCACTGAACATGAATTAAAACACTATTAGTGTTACAGAATAAAATACAAGTTTACCTTTATATCATTTTCTACCTGTGACTAATGATGAGCCAAATATACATGGGTTTGGTTTGTGGTATGTACAGTGAACTCTATCAAAGTTCAGATGCCAAATTGGAAGTCCACTGCAATCAATGGGAGCTGAAGTAATGGTAATTTTCTAGGCTAATATTCAAGGGATTAATAAAAAAAAAAGGCGAAGGAAGCTAAGCAGCGGCCCAGGGGTTGGGTATCAAAGAAAAAAAAAAAAATACCATTTTATGGGGAGCAGCTCCTTTAAGATTGCTTGAAAGGTGACTTAAAGCTGTGTACTCACTTATTCACAAATAAATAAAAGCACACGTTTTTACAAGTTTGATATTTAATGATAAAAAAATCTAAAGAAAAAAAAAAACCACACCATATAAATCCATCATCGTTTGATCCAGTTACTGCACTTCACCAAATGACAGATTCCCCATCGCCAGCTGAAATGTAAACAAATGGGTGGGGGATGGTGGCTGATGTTTTTGACCAAATATTGTCATGTTCATATGTGGCAAGTGATGACATCCATTCCTGTTTTCATTCAGTTGTCAGCCAGGACAGCTAACAATAGAGAAAACATTGGTGCTGGAGAAGTAAAGGAATTAGCCTAAAGTCCAAATGTTTGGTTAAAAGTCCAACTGTATGTGGAGGGGAGGGAGTGGGGAACGGGCTGTAAAGAGTTCCAATAGGTAATGGACAACAGACAGCAGCATCAGTGGCAGCACCCTTAGAGTAAATCTGGACTCTGTAGACGAGGTAAGAGAAGAGAGGGGCGCTAGACTAGGTGCAGCATTAAACAGTAAGTTTTATTTCTAGGTAAAACAAAGCAACTCACTAGAAGTGAAATAGGATCAGGCATGTCACCAAGGACGTCATCCTGTATGGGTCCCGGGAGCAAGAGAATAGGCTGGTTTTCCCTCCAACGGCTGGCCGCATTAAGCACTGAGCATCCAGGAGACTCAGTTTTCTGCTGCAACTCCTGCATTACACACTCCTCTCCATCGGCTCCCGGGACCCATACAGGTTGACGTCCGTGGTGACATGCCTGATCCTATTTAACTTATAGTGAGTTGCCATTGTTTTACCTTGCAATATAACTTACTGTTTAATGCTGCACTTAGTCTGGCGCCCCTCTTTCCTAGCCAGGCAGCTGACAACTGAATAGGAGGGGAAAATAATTCTGGTTGTTAGGACACTGATGGACTCATAAAAACATGGTATCCTACAAAATCTGTCATATTTAGTAGTGATACCATGTCTTTCTAGCATCACCCACACTTTCAATTCTATTCATAGTCATCATGTATTTGCACTGAAGTACATATGCAAACAGGGTCCTGATTGTAATGCCAGATAGACATGAGTTGAATATCAACCAGATCAACAGAAACCGACCAACATTTGACCTGTGTGTACAGCAGTCTGTCCAACAGAAGCCAGCCAAACATCCAGCTTCTATAGAACATGCATTCAAATAAAACATCTGTCGATTGGCATCCAATCAAGCCCCGTAGCCAATGGGCAGTGTGTTCTGGTGGGGGGCAGTCCCCCTATCAGAACATTATGGCTCAGTGGGCAGATCACTGTACTAACGTTGCATCATTAGTACAGAAACTTCCTCACAAGCTCCTCATGCATTTTCATAGTGTGCACCAGGCAGGTATTGTTTCGGAGAAACAATGTCAACACATTCTCCTGGTCCTAGAACAATGTATTACTGCAAAACATACAGTACAAAAAATACAGTATTCAGGTTAAGGCATACCTAAGCCCAAAAAATAAAAGTTTATTATATTTCAGTTTAGCGCAGACATTAGACGTAGTGGCTACATTAATTTACACTTTTCAAGATAATAACATTTTCAGCAAGCACAGAAAATACCTTTTGACCTAGCCAGAAATGCATTGTCATTATTACTTCCCATGAGCTGACTTGCACAAACAACCTTCTTTTTTGCATAAACTGATAGTCCCATCAATCCACTATGCAATGGAGATGAACAAATACAGAAAAGTACAGCCTGTGTGACAACTTTGGTTGGCCCCATTGATACAATTATTTATTTATTTATTTATTTCAGGTACTTATATAGCGCTGTCCATTTACACAGCGCTTTACATATATACTGTACATTCACATCAGTCCCTAACCCTCAAGGGTTGTACAATTTAAGGTCCCTAACTTACATTCATACATACACATAGTAGGGCCAATTTAGACAGGATCCAGTTAACCTACCAGCATGTCTTTGGAGGGTGGGAGGAAACCGGAGTACCCGGAGGAAACCCACGTAGTCACAGGGAGAACATGCAAACTCCAGGCAGGTGGTGTCGTGGCTGGGATTCCAACCAATGACCCTAGTACTGCCAGGTGGAAGTGATACAATGAAGAAAAAATATAGGCATGAAAGGACTGGAAATGTGTTATTTCCAGAATTATCAGGTAAAAATAAAGCAAAAAAGTCTAAAAATAAAAATAAAGAAAGAAAGAACTGATGCAACCACATTCAAAGACTGGCAAGCCACAATATATAACATTCTTTTTATTTTGGATTTGCATGTGTCGCTGCAGTGCTTCATAGTATGCTGCCCTTCTACTCACTTGCTGTTTGTTCATTATTACCACTACTACAACCACTGTTGCTATGTTAGGTATTATGTTACAGGATTGGGCAATTAATATAAAAAAAAGAACTCACGTGATTAGCCATAGCTCGGAAGTTGAATCTCAAAGGTACTCCTTTGGGAAGAGATCCCATTGGCCGAATTCCTGTAGTCCTAAATTTACCACCAGGTTGCTTCATTCCTGGTTTGACTGCTCTGTGACGTTGATTAAAATAGAGGAACATTAGATTTCTAGAAATGACATATAGTTTTATATTGTAAAGTGCTGAGCAAACTGTTGGCACTATATAAATCCTGTATAATAATAATAGTTTAGCCAGATTCACACAATAGAATCATAATATCATGCATCCCATTATCAGCACAGGAAGATGATTCAGTAATTCAAAATGGCAAACTAGCATTCAGTAAGAGGGTACAAATATCAAGTGCACAGTTATCCATAGCAAACCATTCAGATTTCAGCTGTAATTATTTTAGAGCAGTCACAACAATCAATGATTCTGTCAGTTTGCTTTGTGTTATGTCATGTTGCTCTTCATCATAATAAAGTGGAACTGAGATTCCATACTAGTTGCCCCCAACCCTCTCTTAGATCAGCACTCACCTTTTCCAGGTACCTGATCATTTTTGTGTATCTTTATTTACATGTGAATCCTAACCAGTTGGAGCACAGTGTTGTTTGTGCATCTGCTTTGTCTATAATCTCTGTTGGGCTACCCATAAATCTACTGATCTATAGGCTGCCCATTACAGTCTCTAATGGGATGAGCACATGAACAGCACTACACAACCAAACATCGCAGTCCAGATGTAGGCAAAGCTTGAAAGCAACACAGGCTAACCATCTGGGAACAAGGTAAGGTAAAGACCTGAGATCTGTTGGTTTGCATTTATAGGTGTTAAGGAGAGCAGGGGGGTGCTTGGAACAAGTTAGTATGTCATTTTAGTTCCACTTTAAAATAAAACCAGATAATTAGAGATTGGCATTGTTTTTCTTTTATTGTCTTGATAAACTAAGAGTCTTTTGTATGCCTTGTTCATTTACTATAGTGAAACTCAAGTTAAAAAAAGACTATTTAATCTAATAAACACATCGTGTTTAGGTATTTAAACTGTTTTGCACTAGAGCTTCCTTTTACATTTAGCAAAAATGGCATATATTGATCAAAATAGTCAAAATCCACCTACACTTTTTTAGTTTTAGTGGGAGTGGCATCTATCACATGGCCATTTGTAGGCATAAAATAAAGTTTGCAGCATTTTCCTGCCCATGGTGCTGCAGGTGGGGCATCCAACTGGCCATAGAAGTGAATGCCAGTACTCCCCTGTACTCATGTAAACTCTAACGCTTCTATGCATCAGTGTTTATTTGTGCATGCTCATACAATGTATTTTTCAAATGTGAAACTTCCATGTTCAGAAAATACATCATACGAGCATGCACAGGCAAATGCTGGGAATTTTAAACTAGACATATTTTATGCCTGAAAACATCCATGCATAGGGCCTAGGAGTTAAGTTTCAGGTCAGGTTTTTAATTCAATCTGTGACCACCCCCAACAGAGAGGTTTCCCCTCACCTCCTGTCCTTGTGGCACCCATACATGAAATGGAGGGAGTGGTTGCCACTGGGATAGGAAAGTGCAGAGAGCAATCTCTATTCCTTCTCTGTTCTTTCCCAGTTTTAAGACAAAATTTCTATTTGTGTGTCCTCTTTGGAGATACATTTCATGACCTGTAGCCTTGACAGAAATGAAGTGGAAATCTCTCTAGTAGGAACACAGAAAGCAATAAAAAATAACTAAGAGAGGATGTAAACCTTCCTCATGCTATTCAAAGTACAATAACATGTTTTGACTGGAATTGGGCTTTAGTTGAAGGAATTCAGATTTTTTTTTCTGACAGAGGAATAAATAAATGAGCATGCTGGTTTATTTCTATGCTGATACCCAGCATATCACCTTCAGAAATGTGCACAAGGTTCAAGCAACAAAGGACCAAACAACAGCATGGTTCTCCTTCCTTAAAATACCTGAAAAGTGCTGCAAGACAATAGCTTCTTTCACCACATCAGTGCCCCTAATTCAGGTTCAGACTCTGGGGTGGGTTATGTCAAGTGCTGAACCCTGTCCATGTCTATTTACTGTGACAAACACTTGCATTCACGCAATCGCATGCGTACACACGCACACACACGCACACACTGTATATATATAATCAGTGTTTCTTTATTAAATCTTATTACAAATAATGAGGAAATACCCACATTTAGCAATATTTACCTTTGGCTTGTGAACTCAGAATGCATGAGTTTCCTTGAGATTCACTACAATGTGGAGTTCAGAATTCTGGTAGATCAATACATAGTCTGTGATCTATTTATTTATAAAATTCAGTTATATGTGGTTCATAAACGCATCTAAGACCTCTTTTTCAGGTTACAGTGATGGCGATGAAGGATTTTATAAGGTGAAGGGACACTTTTATTTGCAGCCTCTTAAGGCACACAGCTCTCTTGTTTTGGTAATACTAACCCGTATGCCTGGTATACATGAAGGGACCAATATTTTTATTTCCATTTTAAAAAAAAAGTTAAAAAGCAACAAGTAGACTACCTGATATTTAAGGGTATCCACAATCCTCTCATTAGTCTGACTAATGTTACATCTGATACACATTTCTACTTACAATAATAATTATTCATCGTACTCACTGTGAGGTTCGATTTGCTTTAAGATTAGGGACAGAAACTGTTAGCGTTGTTCCAAAACTCTCATTGTTCTGCCACCTGTGAAAGAAAAATACATAAAAACAGTCCTCAAATTTAATTTGTTAAACTTGACAAATACATACATAAATTACAACCCCCACCATGCTTTTGTGAGTACTCAAAAAAGATAATTAGCATATTCCATTCAGCCCACTCTGCAGCTATGGTTCAGACAAACCAGCAAAGCAGTAGGATTAATAACCTCTTAAAGTAAAATATTATTACATTAAAACAAATAATCTATTTAAAAAAGCACCATGTGTATATTTATCCACTTATTAACGTATCACAAAAATACATATAAATAAATATATTATTTAAAATGATATCACTTCAAAATGAATAGCAATAGTAAATGAGTACATAAATCCCCAAAGAACTCAATGGTGTCCCAGAATGAGTTGAAACTGATACAAAGTGATACATTGTCCAAAAAAAGAAACAAATGTAGCAAAGCCTCTTTTTTCACTCCTATGAACTGAGCTGCTTTCATCTTTCTGACATCTAAGTGCTATGGCCATATTTGTGAAAGCGTGGCAATATCTTTTGGTGCGTGCAGATTCACATGGGTTGAGGGCATCACATGGTGCTTCTTTTTGAATTTTAAGCATAGATATCTGGGCACACCTCATAGGACAGTAGAAAGTAGCTTTGCTACATTTGTTTCTCTTTTGTGTTTGGATACTGTATCACTTTGTATTATTTCAACTCATTCTGGGACACTGTTGAGTTCTTTGGGAATTTATGTACACATTTATTATTGCTGTTAATTTTGAAGTGATATAATTTTTCTTGTAAGTGAGTTTCCTTAAAGCAGAGATTAAGTGAATTTAAATGGTACTACACCATGTCGGGTCTCTATTCCCTTTCTCTCATATGATATGGAGAGTCATTACCAGAGATTGTAGATCTGGAGTGTTGGAGCCATTCTGGCAGAGTTACTGTGGAGAGTCAGTTACAGAGGCTATTGATTTGGAGTGTTGGTACGTTTCTGAGGAAAACTTGATGCAAATGAGTGAACATCCTTGTTTGGAGAAATATATGTTTATACTAAAAGCTATTTTTGCCAACCATGAGAGTGGGAGGCAAATAAAGTTGGTGAGTACACACGAAAAGGGGGAGCACAGCACTGTTTGGAAATTTATTTACAGTCACGTGGTGGTTTTATTTGAAATTCAACTCACATGGTGATTTCAAAAAGGACTTTATTGATGGACTTTTTGTTTATGATTATTTTTATATGATTTACAGAGCACTGCATATATATTTTGTTATTTCAAAATATTATTTATTTGTTACAATTTTTTGCTCACAGTAGAAAGTAGCGGCAATTTTTTATTATCATTATAATTCACATATTTATTATTTGGGGAGCAGTTTGTATTCAGAAAGGTAGAATATATATGTATTTGTATATATATTTTTTACCTGGAGATATACGGTGTGTTATATATATTTATTTATATGTATATTTTTTGTGACACATTAATAAAGGGATAATTATGCACGTAGCACTGTTCTGAACTAGATCATTTGTCCTGATGTATCTTTACATACATACATTACATACGGTAGATCCATACATGCTGTACATATAGAGATATAAACACAGACCTTCTGGTGTTCAGCTGCCTTTTACCACGATTCATCTTAAATTGTTGTGTTAGCTGGAAGCAGACAAGATAAAAAGGGTTATATTTCAGTAAGGTAACCAATGCTAGTTGTATCACTAATTCACTCTACTACTAATACTGTCCCCAGAAAGGTCTATGAATGACATAAAAAACATACATCATAAGATTGTATATCCACAAAAAAAATAAGCATATTGTTTATCCTAAAACATATTTATCTGAAATACTTCACAGGAGTCTCTTTAGCTGTACAGAGTAGAGCATTGCTTACAGAGAAAAAAAAAGGATCCTGTGTAACAGTATTGACCAACACTGATAATCACTACATTTCATAGATCTCCTTCAAGTGTAGGTAAAGGGTTTTTTTTGCTATTAAAATGTTGGTCACATTGCAATATTTTCCTTTCTTGCATTCCCCTTTTTTAAGTTTTTATTTATTTCAGGTACTTGTATAGCACCGTCAATTTACGCAGCACTTTACATGTATATTGTACATTCACATCAGTCCCTAACCTTCAAGGGGTGTACAATCTAGGGTCCCTAACTTTCATTCATACATACACATACTAGGGCCAATTTAGACAGGAGCCAATAAACCTACCAGCATGTCTTGGAGCGTGGGAGGAAACTGGAGTACCCAGAGGAAACCCACACAAGCAAAGGGAGAACATGCAAACTCCACGCAGGTGGTGCTGTGTTTGGGATTCAAACCAGTGACCCTAGTACTGCCAGGTGGAAATGCTAACCTGGTTCTTGTTGCCCAGTGACACCTGAACTTTAACGGGAGCATGGTTGTCACCTTGGGGTGCACATCCCTGCTTCTAAACTACAAAGTGAGCATGGCTTACTTTCTCACATGATAGAAGATCTTCCGCTGTTGAAACTGAGAAAGGTGGGATAGCAGGAGTGTCCATCTAAAATGTCACACTCTCATTTAATTCCTGTGCCATAATGCTAAGGTGATATGATCACAGGAATATGTAGTCTGTGCTGTGAATTCATGTGAAGGATTTTGAACCTGCACCCAGGGCTCAACCTTGCGCAGAGAAAAACAGAAATGCATGCTATATTGTACACTGAGGTAAGGTTTTACATGTAAGTACTTGATATTTTAAAATTGATTACAGATTAATCTGTTAGGCAGTTCCACTATAGGGATAGTTTTATACTATAATCTTATTTTAAACAAGCATTTAGTTCTACTTTAAGTCTGGCTTCACACCTACATGTTGAGGGAGAGGCAGCACTAGAAGTCAATTATGTTTGCTGCAGGCACAAGAGATAAAAAAAAACATGCTGATAGGAGGAGAAAGCAATGTAATTATATATAGTAGGTGAACTGCTGCTGCTCCTTTACTGTTTAATCACATGCTGGAGGCAAGGAGGTGCCCAACTGTATTGCTCAACTGCAGCAGAAAAATGTCAGGTCACCAGGTTGGAGAGGATGTGCAAATCTTGGCTGGACGAACCAAAGTACTGTACAATTGAATCAAATACTTACTGGAGTTTTCCTTTTCCTGGTTTCTATCCATGGGGAGTTTACTAGTGATTGAGCTTGGCCTCTATCTTCACCTACATGATCGTTAAAATATATAGAAGAGTGATATAGAGAAATGCCTAACTATATCAAGACTGAGTTTGGCTCCATATCATGCCATGGATAGACACCAAGGAGGCAAAATTACATTACTCGGTACACATTTTCTGATGCTCACATGGCAAAATACTAGTGATAAATAGCTAGATGACAGGGAGGGCAATGCTGAACAAATTAAATATTATTAGCATGAGACATGGAAGCCTCAGTTGATCTTTTACCAAAGTCACTTGTGGTGAGATCTTATCTATGTTGTAGTGTCTGAGGAAGGTGTGTTGGGATGACAAACTCACTGTTCTGCAGATAGTCTCTAAGGAGACCCTTGTGTGTGCTATCCTCCATGACAAGAAGGATCTTGTCGAATAAGCTCTCACTGGAGGCTCCCACCTAAATGTGTTGTAAGCCCTTTGGACAGTCTTGACAATCCAGGATGATAGAGGTCTTGAAGATGCTTTTTTCCTCTTGAATCTTCTCAATGGTAGAACAAACAGTCCGTCCAAAGTCTTGAACAAAGAAATTGCTTAACGGTATGCTTTAAGAGCTCCAGGCATGTTATGTTCATGAAGAATCAAACGTCCTCTGGAATCACCCACTCATTAGTCAGATAGAAGACCAAGACCACCTTGAGAATAAATTACTGAAATGGTCTGAGCACTACTTGGAGTTTGTAGATTTAGCACTCCCCTCATGAACTGCTCAATCAAATGGTCACTTGCCCAACTATTTCTGTGATTTCTGCATTACACGTTCTCTCTCTTACTCTTTAATAGATTTTAATTGGTGCCTCTAGGTGGGGATAGGGGCGAAGCTCTATCACTAGTATGTTGCCATGCAGGCGCTAGGAAATACATCTTTTGGCAGAAAAACTGCTTTGATATAAGTGCTGTAACTGTGTAGTTGTTTGCTTGTCATTCAGATATTTTGCATTTGGGATCATACATCAATTTCATCTTAGATTGTAAGCTCCAAGGAGCAGGGCTCTCCTATCCCTCTTGTATTGAACTGTATTGTTGCTGTATTGTCTCCTGTTATATTGTTATTGTAAAGTGCTGAGCAAACTGTTGACGCTATATAAATCCTGTATAATAATAATAATAATAATAATAATAAAAATAATAATATCAGTGCTACTTACTCTTCTGCTTTCATTAACTGCATTTCTTCTTTGTTGGCCTTGACCAGTTCTAAACTGTAGTGTTCTGTTTTGTAAGTTTCTGCTGTAATAAACATTATTATTATTACTCATTACACACAATTGGATATTATGGCAAGTTGTGCTAAATTAAAATGCACCACATTCTCACTATAACAGCCTTTACCATCAGATACACCAAAAGAACCAAAGCTTACCCACATACTGCGGTACCTGGATACTATGGCATGATTGTTTAAGTAATATTTATATATTATTTTGAACTTACAGTTTATAATAGGTGAAATGGGTTCTATCTAGATACAATTTGCGAAGCATAAAAAACCTGGTGCTTGGTTACTGGTCACTAAGGCACCCAGCACTGTCCATAGAGGGAGAGTCCTCAGCCCCGTGCATGCTTTATGACTAAAAAATCAAGTGCAGGAAATGGACACCAACATCAGAAATATTCCGCAGGTCAGTTGTGTACGTGAAGCAGCTTACATGCAAAAATGTACAAGGAAGTTGTCACAAAGCTACCATAGATATAAGTCTCAGAAACTTCCTATGTAATCAGCCATATTTTAAACAACTCTTTCTCTTTAAAGCTGCTGACTGTTATAAAGTGCAGGAATCTAGAGGGGCTTGTACATAGCTTTCAGTGCATCCTCTCTGTCTCAATGCCAGGCCACTCTCATCAGGCAAAGTTATTGCACTTACTGATGGCATCATAGCTTTCCAGTCTTTCCTGACTCCCACACATTCAACATAGCCATCGTTGTAATGGACCCATAGAAATGTATGGTGTGCCAAAGCAGCAGTGATCAGAATAACCAGTATTTGGTCACAGTGGGGGCACTATCAACAGCTGGTTTTCTTGTCGTAGGCAGTCAAAGTCCAGGGGTGTACTCCTGTAACTGCACACATGCTCACACAAGGGACGAGGGTAGTAGGCCCAAATTGTATGTTCCACAGCTCAAGAAACCCATGCTCACGGGGCCTTAAAGTAAAAAGGTCACTTATATTCCCAACCCATATACTAGTGCTAGGGCAATTATATCACTTCAAAGTAAAAAACAAGTAAAATAAGCTTTGGTGTCCCATAATATGCATGCAGCCAAGGAGACAGAAGGTGACAGGCAATGACTGCTTTCATAGGAGTGTTTATAGAGAGGTATAGCTTTGTGACAGGTTTCCTTTATGTTTGACTGAAGCATACCTTTAGGAGACTGTTCAAACCAGAATGCAGTGTGGGAAACACTTGGAAGTGCACTGCAAGAACACTGAAAGTGCAATTGCTCTAGATCTGAGCAGCACATTCAGGGAAAATAAAAAACAGCATTTTTGCTTGCACATGATTGAACGAAAGAAATCAGCAGAACTTCGCCTCATTTCAGAGCTTCTCTTCGGATCCAAAACAACTGCACTTGCAGGTGCACTTGTGGAGCACTTGCAGTGCACAGTATATTTACCTTTAGTAAATCAACCCCCCTGTGTATTAGTGTTAGAATATAACCATCTTCCAAAATTTGAATTTCGAAAAGAATAGAATAATACAGAATAGAATAACGTAGAACAGAAAGAAAAAAGAATAGAAAATAAAAAATAGAATAGAATATAGCCTTCTTTCATACAGCGTAGAATAGAATAGAATAGGAAAGAATAATGTAAAACAGAATAGAATATAGAATAGAATAAAATAGAATAGATATTAAAGGAATATAATAAAAAAAATAGTAGATTAGAATAGAAAATAAAATAATAGAATACAAAATAATAGAACAGAAAAAAAAATAGAATAGAATAAATCTATCCATCTTCCAAAACTCAAATTTCAAAAAGAATAGAATAGTGAAGAATAAGAGAGAAAAAAATAGAATAGAAAGAATATAATCGTCTCCCGAAATTCGAATTTTGAATAGAAAAGAGCCAGTTATTCTTCAAAATAAATTAAGATTGATTAGATATTTTCAATTCAAATTCAATCTGAATTTGATTCAAATACTTTGTTTCCATTGGAAAATGTTTAATCTGGTCGAAAACGAATGAATGAAATGAAACTAAACTAAACACAATTAATTTTGTTACGAATGAAACCAATATGTAACTTAACAAATCAATTCAAAACTAAGCAAACTTTTTCATTTTGCACGTCTACAGGAGACCAAAACATGAATAATACACAAAGAATTCCATAAAGCTCACACCGAAGATGTGTCATACACTGCTACCAATACCAAAAGGACATGTATGGCCTGCTAGGGATCGCCTTTATATCTGTGACTAGAAGGTGGTTCCTAACTAATTAGGTTGATTAAAGGCTATGATCCAATGAGGTGGTAAAAAAAATAATCAACCTAAATATGTATTTAGTTAATGGTGATATGCACTTGAAAGTTGCATGGGAGGTTTGCATTGTTTACTTGCCTGTGCAGTATGACAACTATGTGTAAATTGATATTTGTTGTTGATAGTTGTATGAATCCTTTTGAAGGTAAATGCATATACAAATATACATTTCAGCTGTGTTCTTAGCTGTGTGCTTCAAATTCCACTATCATTTTTTCCACTTACCTTCTGGTTATCATCTGTACCGGCACAGCTGATGATCTGTATTTGTTTGTGGTCCTCCTTGCCTTCTGTGATTGTGCTTGTCCCAAGTTCTGAGAACTCTGTCAACATTGTAAAGCAAACAGAGCAATTGTTGGGCATTAAACAAGTCACTTGGGGGCACAAAGATAATAGAGGTTCTGCAGCTGCCCTTTCTATTGTGAAACTACACTGCTTAAAAAAATTAAAGGAACACTTTTTAATCAGAGTATAGCATCAAGTCAATTAAACTCATGGGATATTGATCTGGTCAGTTAAGTAGCAGAGGGGGTTGTTAATCTGTTCTAGCTGCTTTGAAATGAAATTAACAACAGGTGCACTTGGTGGGCAACAATGAGACAACCTCCCAAAACAGGAATGGTTTTACAGGTTGAGGCTGTAGCAAACTTGCTCATCAGAGATGGACGCAGATTCCCCCCCTTTTTGTTAAAAGCATTCATTTATCCTTTATTCTCCTTTCCCCTCCCTTCCTGAGAGGCACAGTGACAGATGTGTGTGTGTTAAAAGTTGCTGGCAGGCTAGAGCAGCAGGGGGCCCAGAGCTACAAAGCCCCCCCAGAGAGACAGAGCCTGGCTGCCCAAGAACCTGTGTAATCTCTCACCTCATAACGGAGATAAGGCAGCTTTTCCCAGGAATTGAAAGAGATTGTAACCTCATAAAGCCTAGCAGCTAGGTAACAGAATTAAATGAACATTCCTCAAGTCAATTTGTCCGCTATGTGTCATATCATGGATTATGAAGATGTTGGTTCTAATTCAGAGTCCGCCCAACAATCCCTCCCTAAACAGAGTATTGGTCAGTTGCTCAGAGCCACCCCCCTGCTGGGGGACTTTAAAACACAGGCTAGCAGGCCTAAAAAGTTAAGTTGAAGACATCTCCCAATTGTAACATCTATATACCACCTGGGGAGACCCTTTGCTCTGAAACTTGGATCTGCTTACGGCTAAGTCTTAAATGACAAGTAACTTAACCATTTAATTCCTCTCTGATATCTCTTTGCTGTGCTATGGTTCTTTGTATGTATATTTATATATATATCTTAGTTACATCTTTTCCTGTAAATATTTTATTGCACCTGTTTGACTCTTTTAGTAATAAATCTTTCTTTCTGAAAGTGTTAAACTGTTTCTAAAGTGCTTAATTGCAATTTACGAATTCCTACCTCTAAAGAGACGCTACTGTGTTTGTTTAATCCTCTGCCCAATTGGCCTGTGGTGACTGTATTGGACAGACGACTTTTCAACCATTACAGTGTATATTTGATAAAGAGAGTTTCCCCTTTCTCTGTACAAAAAGGGGTGGTGGCAGTGAAGGGTTAGTTGCATAATTAACCCGACCCAGTAACAAGCGCATCCAGGCTGCCGGCACAGATTGAGACCCATTAGCTGGAAAATCGCTGTGCAGGGTGCAGTTGGGTGTGGCATTGTTACGCATGTCACATCATGGTCTGGATCGGCCAGTCCTTTGGTCATGAGTTTGGTGAGAAGGTCTAGGGTCTGACGACTCGATCGTGACATATTGGTGGTCGCGGTCGTGAGATTGTCACATGTTGGTGGCGGCGATCTTGCGATCGTGACAGAGGCCACTGACATTTTTTCCCTACTCATCTTTTCTGACTGTTTTTCACTAGTTTTGCATTTGAATAGGGTCAGTGTCACTACTGGTAGCATGAGGCGATACCTGGACCCTACAGAGGTTGCACAGGCAGTCCACCTCCTCCAGGATGACACATCAATACGTGCCATTGCCAGAAGGTTTGCTGTGTCTCCCAGCACAGTCTCAAGAGCATGGAGGAGATTCCAGGAGACTGGCAGTTACTCTAGGAAAGCTGGACAGGGCCATAGAAGGTCCTTGTCCCATCAGCAGAACTGGTATCTGTTCCTTTGTGCAAGGAGGAACAGGATAACCACTGCCACAGCCCTACAAAGTGACCTCCAGCAGGCCACTGGTGTGAATGTCTCTGACCAAACAATCAGAAACAGACTTCATGAGGGTGGCCTGAGGGTCCGAAATCCTCTAATGGGCCCTGTGCTCACTGTCTGGCACCATACAGCTTAATTGGCATTTGCAATTAAACACCAGAATTGGCAGGGCCGCCATTGGTGCCCTGCACTTATCACAGATGAAAACAGGTTCACCCTGAGCACATGTGACAGATGTGAAAGGGTCTGAAGAAGCCGTGGAGAACATTATACTGCCTGTAATATTGTTCAGCATGACTGTTCTGGTGGTGGGTCAGTGATGGTCTGGGGAGGCATATTGATGGAGGGACACACAGACCTCTACAGGCTAGACAATGGCACCTTGACTGCCATTAGGTATCGAGATGAAATCCTTGGACCCATTGCCGGACCCTACTCTAGTGCACTGATTCCTGGGTTCCTCCTGGTGAACTACAATACCTGGCCTCATGTATTAAGAATATGCAGGCAGTTCCTGGAGGATGAAGGAATTTATTTATTATTTGTAAATAATAA